GCTCCAGTTTCCAGCAGCCAGCTCTCCAGACCAGGTAGACAGTTTGATCTTGATTCCGATCATCTGGAGGGACGTCCAAGTCATTCTTACAGCAGGTGAGCAGCAAATTCTCTGACCAGGATTAGAGGGCCCCTGCCTCCAGCCAGGTGGAGGAAAGGGACAACCACGTTTATTGGACGGTGTGGATTCGGTGGCCTGGCACATCAGATCCACAAGAGCAGAAAGCTCTAGTGGACACTGGGGCACAGTGTACTTTAATGCCATCACATTTCAAAGGGTCAGAGTCCATTTGCATTTCTGGAGTGACAGGGGGAAGTGAGCCTCACTGGGCAGGACTGGCAGAAGCGCCCCATTGTAACTGGCCCCGAGGCTCCGTGCATCCTTGGGATAGACTATATTTGGAGAGGGTATTTCAAGGACCCAAGTTTTCTGCCTGTTTCTTTCCATTCTCCTCCACAGCCCGGCGGGGGGAGGGGCGGCCGCGTGGCGCTTTTGTTGCTGGCCGCAGCCAAACCAGAAGAGTAGGTAAGGGGGCAGAATTCAGTGAGTAGTTAAGGAAAAATGAATTTTACTTTATTAAGTGTATTTTTCCTAATATTCCACGCTACTGAAGAAGGGATAGCATCACTCTCCAACAGATAATGATCAAGGCTGTCTCCTAAAGAGTTCTGGCAAGGAAGCAAAAGCAGTCCCTTGGAATCTGTATGGACAAACTTGCTCCTCACCTCCCCAAGCCCACCAGTTCCCTCATCAGCCTCCTGGCACTTGCATCACTTCTCCTCACTTCAGACTTCTCCGTTGAGCTCTGCAGCTGCCTGGTACAGCTCCTTTGTACCACCTCCCACCTGCTTTCCTTCGAGAACAGCTGCACACAGGCACAGAAATGTTTGTCGTCCTTTCCAACAAACAAAAGCTAAACATCGGCTCTGCTCCAGTTACAAATAGGGCCCAAAGTCATAGAATCAGAAGAGGACTGCGGTTGGAAGAGACCTCAGTAAGTCTGCAGTCCTCCCATCATGCACCGTGGTGAAGAGACTGGCTCTGTGTTCTCCAGGACCTCCTCGTTGGTACTGGCAAGCTGGGAAGAGGTCCCAGTCAGCCTTCCTTGCTGAAGGCTGGAAAAGCCCAGGTTCATTTGTCTTAAATGTGGGCACCTTCTGTCAGTTAAGTTTGCCAAAGGCATTTCCCACCAGCCTCCAGGAAGGTGCCCTCAGACACTGCCCTGTCTCTATGAACTGCTCCATTAGAGCTTGCAGTTACCAGCAGGCATCTTGGTCACCTCTGGAACGAAACCTGTCACCATGTGTCTGTGTCAGAACATCTTCCTCCTGCCCTCCACGTCCATGAATTAGCAAGGGACCTGAGATAAGGAGCTTCAATGCAGGAGCCTGTTTTGGTGCACATCTGAACTGAGGCAGGAGGAATTCCACATCCAGTGGTTTTGTAGTGTGCATGAGAAGGAGCTGAGTCCTCTTCTAGGACTTCAAACCCAGGATGAGATGCCTCGAATGACCAGGCTGAATCTCTTTTTTCAGCAGGGGTAAAGGAGAGCCCTCCCTGTCATTTTCTGGTATTCCTGTCTAATGATGGGACAAGCAAAGGTGATTTTTTTCTAACTTTTTCTCTGAGAGGAGAAATGACACTGCTGGAAAGAAGTATCTGTCCCCAGCAGAGGGAGGGAACATCAGTGATGACTTCAGCCTGTTTCAAAACAGGTTGCCTTAGAGACCAAAAGACACCTCAAGGGAGCCTAGAGGGGAAAGATACAGAGACATACTGATCTGGTCCTCTGCTGCTGAGCTGGGCTGGGCTCCTGGGATGGAGGGAGC